GGATTCTTCCGTCCTAAGTGCAGAACTCTGCACTTGTCCTTGTTGAACCTCATCAGGTGTGGTTTTTTTTTGTTTGTTTGTTTTGTTTTGGCCCAATCCTCTAATTTGTCTAGGTCCCTCTGTATCCGATCCCTACCTGCTAGTGTATCTACCACGCCTCCTAGTTTAGTGTCATCTGCAAACTTGCTGAGAGTGCAGTCCACACCATCCTCCAGATCATTAATAAAGATATTAAACAAAACCGACCCCAGGACCGACCCTTGGGGCACTCCGCTTGAAACCGGCTGCCAACTAGACATGGAGCCATTGATCACTACCCTTTGAGCCCGACTATCTAGCCAGCTTTCTATCCACCTTACAGTCCATTCATCCAGCCCATACTTCTTTAACTTGGCGGCAAGAATACTGTGGGAGACCGTATCAAAAGCTTTGCTAAAGTCAAGGAATAACACATCTACTGCTTTCCCCTCATCCACAGAGCCAGTTATCTCATCATATCTCATCATCAGGAGTTGGTGTGTCCCGGTCTGTGCAGAGCTTGTTTCTGATGATGAGCATGGAGAGGTTGGAGGAGTGTCTGAAGGCCAGAAGGGATTCAGGAAAGATTTCATTCAGGATGAGGTGCCCATTGAGTATGGGTTTTAATTGTTTGATGATAGCCCATATGGGGTCCGGTGTGCACTGGTAGATGACAACTTGGAGTGTATGGTCAGAGGAGGTTTTATTTCTGTATTGAAGCAGGCTGTCTCGGACTATTTGGGTGGCAGGTTCCATGATGTGATCTACTTCTTTGGTGGAGTGTCCTTGTATGGTAAGGTGGTTATGAATGAATTAAGGTATCCCAGATTTTCTCCTTGGAGCATATTCTGTGGTATCTGAGTGCCCGGTTGAAGACAGCAGATTCCTTGGTGTGTTTGGGGTGGTTACTGGAGCTATGAAGCAGGGCAATAACTAGGGCAGGGTGAGCAGGGCAGCTGACCAGGGTGCAAAACCAGCAGGTGCAGAAAAATGGGGTGGCATCGGATCAGGCCCAGTGGTCACCCCCACACACTGTGTTAGCTGGAGCAGAGGGTGCTCAGCTCCCCCCAGTATCAAGCTCATCAGTATAAACTGGAGCCCAGGGTGCTCATTGCCCCCCCTCCCCGCAGGATCTGGGCCCAGTGACCCTGGTGGGAGCAGGCTCTCCCCCCAGTGCTAGCAATGTGGCAGTGGCAGCAGGCAGACAGGGCACTGAGCACAACCAGCTCTCCACCCTGGGGGTGGGGAGGAAGAGGCTCGCAGTGAGGTGCTGACTGACAGGCTGGTGCTGTGTCCTAGGCCCGCAGCAGCTGCCCTGCCAGGAAGTACATTACTCCCCACCTCCTGTGGGTACCCCTGCCACAGGTACCTCATCCAGCACCCCACACACACACACACCCTACCAATACACACACACCCCTCCAGCACTCCCCCAAATATACCCTTCAGCACCCCACAACTGTACCCCCCCCCAACTCTCCCTCCCTCCAGCGGTGTCCTCTATTTGAATATGGTAACCCTAGCGAGGTTGTTCCATTCTCCCGGCCTTAGTTTCCAGAGCTGATGTGAGCGAGTCTGCGCTGCCAGCAGCAGCCACCTGCCCCCAGCACCTGGGCTGGATGCCAGGTTCAGGCTGTATGACTGCAAGCTTGGCAGCCACGGAGCTGGGGCAGGTCAGCCAAGGGGAGCAAAGGGCAGTTCTACCCCATGCACAAGGAGTGTGGTGTGACCCTGCTGCAATGGCAAGTCCCCAGGCAACGAGCGGGGTGTGATCAGGCTGCTGCGAGGCAGGTGCCCCAGGGCAATGAATACTGCAAGGAGCATCTCTGGCTTCAGGGGGTGTTGCCAGCAGGTGCTGGGCTCCTTCACAGCAGAGGCAAGAGCATGTTGGGGGGCAGCATGGAGCTGTGTTGCTCACCCTGCCTGGAGAACAACTGGCCACGCAGAGATGGTCTGGCTCAGGGAGCAAGGCAAGGAGGGCTGCCAGGCAGACAGCCAATGGCCTGGCTCCCACAGCATGGAGAGCCAGGGGTCCAAGCAGAAGAGGTGTTTTGTTTTGAAACTTGGAAGTGTCCGTTAAGCATGCGTATCCTTACATAGGCCAGTCAGGTTAAAGTTCTTTTCCATAGAATTGGTCCTCTCTCCCAGAAGGTGGTCTGTATGTGCATGCCCTTGCTTAAGGAAGACAAGCCAGTTTCCTCTCTTTGCTGTGAATTTTAAAGAGACCCTACTTCAAATAATTTATATTTTTATAGAATTTTAATTTATATCACATCAATTCTTGACAAAGGGGGCCCAGAAGGTCTGTCAGCCTCTCTGTTGGGTTCCCCATATTCACGACTTGTCTGCCGGCTTTCTGCAGCATCCCTGGAGAGCCAGTCCTAGCGATGTTTGAACTGTGCAGACAGAGATGGTGCCCTTTGTCCGGATGGACTTGGCTCCTGGGGCTATGATAATAAAAACAACAACTGACAAAGTGGTGAGACCCTCATTAAAAGTAGGAGGGAGAATTGAAGAGACTGGCAGCCCTAAGTTACTCTTACATTCCCTCTAAAACTGGCTCTGCCACCGTGTTACTTTCCCCCAGAAGAATATAGCACTCACTCTTGACAGGAAGCCCCACAGCAGCAAATCAGCAACTTGATATTACAGTGACAAACACATTAGAGTGATAGTAGACAAACAACTTCTCTTTACTCTAGAGCTTCTTCTCAGACAAATGCTGCCCCCTCTGGGTCAACAGTAACAGGGAAAAACTTAAGAGTACCAGAAAATTCAGTGAGCAGTGCATCTTTCTTTTGCATCCCAGTACAGTCAAAATGCTTAACATCACCACAGTCTGTCACACCTGTTTAACATGGTGTAAAACTGTTTCAGAACCCATTGTGGGTGGGTCCTACAGAAACTTCACTTCTAGGCTTATGGAAGATGGTAGGTAGCATTAAACTGTCAATTTCAGTTAAATACCTTTATTAAAAAGCAAAGTGATGGTAAACCATACTATGAATCTGTTACAACATAAAATAGTTTCAGGACCCTTGTTATGCAGAGGCCTATACTCAAGTGGTTCAAGTAACAAAAGTCCACATTAAGGTAAAGCCCGATACATGAACTTCTGAAATTACCAAAGGTTAGAAACAGACTGGTACAAACTGAATTCCTTAATTATTATTATTATTATTTTTAAAGGCAATGCTAAGCGGTCTTCAAGGCTCTGGTAAAGTCACAGGTTGGCATAACAATGATCTGAATGAACCTAGAACTGAGAGAAAACGTTTGTAGTTGAAGTCACCAAAATGTGCTCCCTTTGATTAATAATCATGAGATGAGGTTTTCATCCCCTTTTTGGACATTTAAATGGGAGCAGCAGAATGTGTGGACTGGAAGGAGTGAGCTTAACCTTAGCCATCATCATGACTGCAACCCCCACCTTCTCCTGAGACCTTGGAATCCATGGTACCATTAGGCCTTCATCATCCTGATCCCGCAAGGTCTCCTGACCAGACTGTGCCAGAGCAAGTTCCACACGACATTGCCCCCTCCTCTGGCTTCAGCTGAATCTTGAATAGCACTTGGAAGATGATATTTGGGTTCCTACAGTCACCCTCCCTTACACAATTTTCCCATCCTACTTTATTGATTCTCTTTTTTAACCCGTCTCCTTTTGCCTTCTGTCTACTAAGAGTCTGGCTTAGCCAGCCAAGACAACAGCATGCCCAGCAAAGCATCTAAAAGCAATGTCTTAAGCAGCCTGATATTGCCAATGCCAGCTCAAGTGGCTGGTTAGACCATGTACAGAACCTACATTTCTCTAGCAGCAAAGGCCGCAAGTGAGAATCAGCACCACAAACTGCATCTTCCATCTTTGCTTTTTTTTTCTCCCCTTTTGTCTTAAAACAAAAATCAAAACAGGACTGAAGTTTAGCAACAACAACTCCAAATCATCTATCCTAAACTTTTCTCTTTCCCCCCAGTAATACTGATAATACTATCTTTAATACCCTTTAAGATTACCAACTAGGGGAGCCCCCTATTAAAAAACAAACAACCCAACTGTACAGTGAAAGAGAGAGGAAGTAAGGAAAATTGTTACAATAAAAACTTCAGTCCTTTACATTTCAATTCTTTAAGTGTTTTTCTTTCTTCCTTCTGTGTCTTTAATAAAATATTTAAAAGATGGTAATGGTGGCTGTTAAATTAGTACTGATGTACTTCCATTGGGACATGAAAACCTCATGCCACACTTAACAGTGAATAAGAGTTTAATTAACTTCTTACCACCTGTTGGGTCCAAGACACCCTTTTATCAACACAACATCCCCTTTCTCCCAACTAGCCATAAAGAAATGGAGGGTGACTGGCAACCCTTAAATTGAGATCCATGTTGTAATATAACTGCTATTTGACAAAAAATATTTTTCACCATAGCATCTATCAGAACTCCTAGATGTTGTGAATCTGCAGAATGTTCCCTGAGAAGAGCGCACTTTTTTCTGAAACGAAGCTAATAGGTCCCTTATGAAGTCTCACAACACAATAATCTTATAAACCATATAATCTTGAGGTGTATGTGTGTCAGCCAAAACACAGCCATGTACATAAAGCCACCAGACAGTTGTTCATGGGCTCCAGGGTGCCACTGTGGTATTTCAATACAGATTTCTGAAGAGAAATTGAGCACTGAAAAAAACAAGCACACACGCAGACATTTTACAAAGGACCCTAGTACTTCATTTTAAGCATTCATTTTTCTCTGATATTCTATGCAATATCAATAGTCTTTTAGTTAATAAAAAATCAAAAAGTTCTGTCTTAAGAGCTTTTCTACATTTAGTACGCAATTTGGAGTTTGTCAGCTAATCCATAAACAGTGTAGTTATTGATTGCCATTATATAAAACCCATTTTTAAAAACATCCCATTCAAACAATTTACTAGTGGAATAGTGAACTGTGTAGAAATGCATTTGCTATGCTACAAGGGTATGTAAAAAAAACCTGATTGTTTAGGAAGAACTAAATTCTCTTTCAGAGAAGGAGTCCAATCCTGAAGTCCTTACTCAGGTAAAATGCCCATTGAATTCTAGGGAGTAGGATTCTGCGTTTTGTCTCCAAGAGGTCCAGTACATAAAGCAAAGCATAAAGCAAGGGGACCCTTCTGGATTCTGGGGTGCTGCTCTGGCACTCAAAACAGAGCCCAGCACAACTTATAGCAACCTACAGCAGCTTTAACTCACTGCAGCCTATCCTAGGCTGCCTGTGGGCTCTATGGACCTGTGCACTACGGACCTACCCCCAATCCACCACTATACCAGGCCTTGGGAAAGGGGCGGAATAGGACTGCTTACTGGTGAATTCTTCTTTGACCAGTTGTGGCTCCTGTACGGCCACTATATGCTGTTAGAGTAGCATGAGAGCTGAGTAGGAGCCAGAACCTATCGCAACGTACATGTTGTGCCTGAGAAAGCAGTTCAGGGTGGCTCCAGCAATATCTCAGAGGTTCCACTTATTTGCGCATTCGCTTGCAAGTGACACTTTTTATTCTCACTCCTACATTTCCCCAAATGTTGTGCAGGTGTGTAGCCACTTGACTCACATTAGAATCAATAGGAATCATGAAGTTAAAACCCCATACAGCTTTCAAAAAACAAGCCCTTGAGATAGAAACAAAAGGATATAACTGGCCAATTTTATTCCATGCTTCAAATTCTCATATCAAACCCGTTACCACTATATGTATAGACAGGCCAGATCTACAAAGATATTTCAAGTATGTCGACACAGGGATAAAAGTCCCACGGCACGGCCACGGTTCACTGGCGGGGACTGCGGGGCTAAAAATTGCTGTGTGGACATTCTGGCTCAGGCTCCAGCCCGAGCTCTGGGATCTTCCACCCTTGCAGGTGAGAATGTATTGGGATTTTCAGAAGTGCCTACGCAGGTTAGATCCCTAACTTCCATTGACTTTAGTGAGGCACCTAACTTGCTTAGGCACTTCTGTAAATTCTACTAGGTGCCTCTCTGTACCTGTAGGAATTTGCAAATCTCTGTAGATCTTACCCAATGTCTACAGTAACCACATGAATGCTACAGCTTTTAAAGACAGGAGCCTAGACAGAATGTCCAGTCCATAAATGCTCATTTTATACCCCCAACGTGAAATTCGGGCGAACGCACATCGTATGAGCCATTCAAGTCTTCCAAGGAGGCTTTGTTAAAAATACATGTATGTTTGTAACTGAAGTCAGCCAGTCTGAGTATGAACAAGGGGCAGAGCTGCTAAGCACGATGGTGCCCTTTTCACACAGTAGTTTTTCAGACCAGAACTGTAGTTTAAGTGAGGCAGAGGTCCTTGTGCAAGCCCTCTGCCGTGGAGTGAATTTCACACTATTATACTGGCTATAAAGGGCTTTCATCTTAAATACCATTGTCCAAATCCATTTTGAATAATCTTTTAGACTATTGGGTTGCATGCCCAGCTTTAGTGCAGATGGAGCCATTTGGCAACAAGCAATTTCTGTTTCAAAATTACTGGAACGCTTATTCTTTGGTAGCTGACTTGTAATGCTTCAACGTGCGAGCAGAAGGATCAGTAGCTTCAATCCATCTTGGCATCCAGTAATGAGAGAGCCAATCAGCGCGCCCGGGGTAGTGCTTCTCAAAGATCTGACGGTAGTAGTAACCTTCTTTAGTCTTAGGAGGATTAAAAGGAAATTTCTCTGCTGCCTTTTCCAGCAGAAGATCATCAACCTATGGACACGCGCGAAATAAAAATTAAGCTGTGAAGTTGCTTTATAAATTATTCACCAGATCATTAGCTGCAGTCGAAATCCCATCATCTCAGTGTAGAAGGATTTACCATTAACTCCACCGTTTCTTAAATTCCAGAAAGAGATTAAAAGCTTTCTAAAAGGTGAAATTCTGCCCTAGGATGTGCACATGGGTGCCACTGAGCTCAAGGGGAGCCTGATCTGCACAACTTTATTGAGAATTAGTCCCATAAATGGCCCTATTAGTGAAATATTGTTTCTGGCTCCACAGTAAGGGTCAACTTTTTTAAAGCTAAAATTCTCTTTTCTAGTAAACTTACAAAAGTATCTCCCCATTTTCTTCCTGCCTCTCTCTCTTTATTGAATGATTCTGAGCAAGCTCAGACTATGCAGTTATCTGCTTCTTGATAGGTTCTCTCTTCTGCCTGCGTTCAATGGACCCCAATTCATTCCAATCAGCACAACCCAGTCTGCAGGCTTCCAGTGGCAGAAAGTACCCCAGGAGCAGGAGTGCAGAGGTCAAGTCTCCTGCAGCCTCCATTTCACCCAGGGCAGCTTTCCCTGAAGTACAGGGGTGTAAACTGCACTGGCATCAGCAGAGGTGAATCTCACCCACAGGCTGGCGTAAGGTGGACATTAGGTCTTACACTAGTGATCATTTACACACAATCCCCTGTGCTAAGCAAGTGTAGCTGTATAATAAATATAAATGTATAAACTACAGGAGCTGCCCTAAACTGAAGGATTTCCCACAGTACCGCAGCTGCAGCATTCATTTCTCACATGAACCTCAGAATCAAGCAAGTTTATCCATAAACTAAACACACACATATATTTGCAATCCAACTATTTCCTTCACTTAAGCATATCAACTGCCTTTCACAGCATATGGTACTGTAGATAACAAGCAGTAATTTTAACATGAATAGGTGTACCTGGAGATCAATATGCTCTTGGAGAATTGAAAACCAAGACTTCTTGAGAGATGTTATACCATCACTGAAGGCTTCTTTGGGTCTCCAGAGTATTTCTTTCGGAAGCAAGTTGGAATCCTGAAACGATTCTCTCAAGAGATGCTTTTCAATTCCATCCTATTGATAGGACGCATAACAATGCTGTGAATGTGAGGAACGTAAGTGTAACAAACCCTACAAGACAATTTTTAAGGCTAGATTTTTAAAACACATCTTCCCCTTTTGAAGCCCATTCAATAAAAAGATCAGGCCATTGACACCAATCCAGCAAAGCAATCAAGCATGTGAACAGTACCATTAAATTCTATAGGATTACTCCTGCTTAATGCTCTGCTGGATCACAACCTTCATCTCCAATATGCCTTCTGCGTGCTGTGTAGGTTTGTATACCTTTGGGATTCTGAGTTCTGCTGGCAGGGATAGGTAATAAGAAGTAAACCGGTGATCCAAAAACGGGACTCTCAGTTCAAGACTAAAAACAAAACAAAAAAAAATTAAATTAGAAAACATACTACATCAACTCCATGACACGTTAGTTTAGAATTCCATAACTGTTCACATCCATTTATTTTGAACAGCAGAAGGAATACAAGGCTTAGTACTTTAATATATGAATATTTCACTTATGCTCAAAATTTAATTTCCGATTAATCAATTCGGACAATCCAGTAAATTATCTGCACAGTATTTATCAACCAAAAAAGTCCAAGAATTTTGTCACGGTGTATGCTGCCATCTATTGAAAGTTTATGATATCATGCAAAAATGTAGGAATTCCTACAGCAGGTTCCACAAAGACCTCCATAAAACAATGCATTTTGCATATAAACACTGAAAAAAAATCCTATAATCCTAAAAGATCTGTCAAAAAAAGCAAGTTGCCTGTGAGGAGATGCATTATTTTCACCCTGAGTTTGGCTTTCAAACATGATAGCAATAAAGATGCACCTGCGGGAACCATAAAGACATTTCATAGTGATTCTGCAATGCTCTCATGCAGAATTTCCATTAACTTCAGCAAGAGTTCCATGTGCAGAAGCACTGAGCCCCTACTGCTTATGTTCGGGCCCAATATGTTGTGGAGCCAGATAACTAGTATCATTTCTAAGACTTCATATTTGAGGTGACAAATGAGTTGATAAGAACTTTGCCTTTGGAAGCGAGGAACTGCATCAATCACTCCTGTACTTGCAGCAGGGCATATTAGTTTAAAGCATGTAACATAATGGGCCAGGACTTCAGCCGGTGCAAGTCAGTGTAGCTACACTTAAAGTCAGCTGGGGAAGTGGTCCAGTGTAACTTGGTGCATTCCAAACCTGAGTTTATTATTCTTAGTTTTTCTCCTCACAAAAAAAAAATAAACACCAACTGCAGGTAATGTGAAATACACACTGCCCTTGGAGAATGACTACGGTTCAGTAATATTTGAGTGCAGAGGCTTGAACTTCCTACCCTTGTATACTGAGTAAGAGGTTAGGGCTTTTCAGTTTCAGCCAAAGATTGTTCAATGTGCATAAACGAGAATCTGCTGCTATATATTTTCTGCAGGTGATAGGCATCTTTGACTGTTTATACTTCTTTGTCCCCAACCCCTCATACTGACTGTTACCCCTATTTCTCACATCACATCTACATTTAACTATAAGTTATCATAGCAGGGACCTTGTTTTCCAATTGTTCTATAAAGCATTTCACAAACTTCTGTATAACAGTAAAAGGCAATTGCAGCTCTTCAAGCAAAAGGCAATTCAAAGTGTGAAAATAAACAAACCTGAATAAGCAGCCAGTCGTCGGCGCAACATGCATTCTCCCCGTTATTAAAATAGAGAAACTGAGGCACAAGGTTTACTTGCTCATGGTTACACAAATCTGTGGCAGAGCCAAGAACAGAGCCCCGATTTCCTGACTGCCCAAGTCTCGTGTTTTAGTCACAAGACCCTCCTTCCCTTCATATCTATCCAGCTTCTTTATTAATACTCTATCACTTTGTCTTGTCAATTTCCTTTTTTTTTTTCTTCCAGTTTCCATTCCTTAATGTTCAGATGCATCCCTGTTGTTTATGCCAGAGGTCCAAAATGTATATAAACATATTGCCTAAGCTCTTTAGTTATTTTTAAAACTTTCTGGTTTTATCTTGGTCACAAAGGGCCATTCCCCTCCACCCCCACCCCAAATACTAATATTTCTAACTATAGTAAATATTTTGTACTGCTCACAAGAAAGATCATTCCTCCTAGACAAAAGCCTTTCCTGCATCAATTGGCAGAATAGCAACCTGGTGCATTTGATATGATCAGTTATGCACAATGCTATGAATGCTCCACCTAGATTCCTTCAGGATACAAATCCAATTTAATCTTGGTATGTAACTTTATACTGTTCTCCAGCCTTCTAGCTGAGATTTAATGGGTATCTTTTTCTGTTTGCTTTTTCTTACATGAAGCCACAAAAAAGGATATTGCTTTCCTGCTCACACGAGCTTTTAGGGCCAGATCCTGGTCCCACCAATAAACAGCTAACACATTTGTCCCTTAAAATATACTGAATTATAGATGAAGGCAATTGAGGGTAATATTTCCCACTACATGCTACCAAATGCACCACTGTTTAGATGTTTGTAAGAGGACAGCAAGATCTTTAAGATTCTAGTTTACTTAGGTTCTTAAACTACACCTATAACTGAGGTCTATGGGAGCCTAAAACAGGCCTTACCCATGAGCCGCAGTAGTTCTGTCTGCACGAAGTACATCAAACATGTAGAGTTCTCTCAGAAGCCTCTCACTCTCTTCCATAGCTTCTTCAGGAGACGGGGCCTGTAACATACATGCATATGTAGTGCACACATATATATTGCATGGTTGTATTGCTACTTTGAGAATTTTCTGTAGCATATATGGATTTCCAGTGATCTCTTCGCACGGAAGGAGAAATTGTACTATGGAATACGCTGCAGAGTACAACGATACGCTGCACACTTTTAGGGCATGAATGTTAAAGCAACCTGTACACTAATTTACACTGCAGGCCAACTTATTTCACAATTTCCAAACATTTGAGGAGAATACATACAATTGGAGGATTAGGACTCCTTTCCCCAACCTTCCTCACTTTTATAGAGACACGCCACATGCATTCTCATACTCATGGGCTTACTCCAATACTGTACAAATAGCATGTGTCCCGTGTATTTCCCAAAAGCTACAACACATTCTACGGGGAGAATGCCAAATTCTCGTGATTTGGACAAAACTGCTCCAGTGTCTTCTTTCTATTCAAATTTCTCAGGAATCCAAGTAGAACATAAGCGATCTCAGAACAGGGCCCTAAGGACTCAAATAATGAACCTCCTCAATAAAATTTGTTTTGGAAGCAGTTACCTGGAGAGGCTGAATTTAAAAGATTGTATATCTGTTACTATGACAGTTCTCACCACAAGCCAAGAGGATGTAAGTGATATTTGTTGCACAAAAAGTATAAAATGTTTAGGCCAGATTCTCATCTAATGTAAATCAGCATAGCTCCTTTGACTTCACACTTGGCAATCTCAGTACAGAGGCCAAGAACTGCAGGGAAAGAAGACTGAACTGTTTGACCTGCGGATACCACTTCTAAGGGTAAACAGTGTTGGCACACACATTAGCATGACAGTTTGGGGAAAACCTGCACTATGACAGGACTGTCCCTATTCCATAAACAAACAGAGAAATTAATGAGAAGATCCTCAGATGGTGGAAAGTGTCAGAGCTTCATTGAACTCAGTGAGCTATGACAATTTACCCCATGAAGATCTGTCCTTCAGTCTCCAGCTGGCACCTTAACGAACTCTAAATTTGCTTTTAAAAATACAGAAGAGAAAAAAATGTTTGAATTTAAAATTATTACAAAAATGTGTAATGATCTCCAAAAGGAAGATTCTATAATAGGAGGAAAAAGGAAACGTCTGGACCCTGGACACAGCTGGTGACGTTCTCTTAAAACTCTATTATTTGACTTCAGTGGGACTACTCACATGCACAACAGCTTGTGTGCAAGAGTGTTTGCGAGATGGGGTTTTGAATACTTACTTATTTATCCACTTTAATACATTGTTTACTTGTAAGTGGATATAAAAGTACCAGCACCAGAAAGAATTAATATATTCCAAGGACTCTTTTCTGATTATTGTGGCCCAATATGGGCATGCACAAACAAGAATCCTTTTTCCTTTGTGAACAAAATGTTGTTGTTACCTTATGGAAATAGATATAGCCTTGTGTAAGTTCATCTGATCCTTCCCCTGAGAAAATGACCACACTGTCTGTCTTCTTGCGTATGTGTTTGGAAACCAGATACATACCTAAAATAATAAAATCAGATTTACAAAGTTATTGTAAATTCAGTTATAACTGAACAAAATTCTGACTTCAGAAGTACAGCCTGCACTGTAATTATTTTGATTTAGTGTTTCAGCACTTCTCTTACATATTAGAAATGAGGGGGAAACAGTTGAAATCCACAACAGCAGCAACTCTTTCTGCTTTTCAATGCCATTAAAATATCACTAACCCATATCATTTTAGGTATATTTTCTGTATCTAAATTGTTCCCATGGTGCATGCTTTCCTATAACTAGTCCTTAAAACTCAAACAATTGAAGGGAAAAATATATATAAGTGGCCTTGATTCAGGAAAGCTAAGTCCTAGTGAAGTCAGTTGGACTTAAGTACATGCTTAAAGTTAAGCACATGCTTGAGTGCTATCCTGAATAGGGATGTTTTCCTGAATTAAAGCTTATATTTGTAAGAATAAAAATAACCAGTCAAATATTTATTACTGCTGTAAGTTTATCTTAACAGTTATACTGTATAGTCCATTTAATTTCCAAAGCACTCTACTAATAAATTCTCTCTATTCTCTTCATATACATACAATGAATTCAGCCTTCTCCCCATTGAACATTTCCAAATGATTTAGTAATAAACAAAACCAAAATTATTCTATTTTTTTTTCTATTTTTATTTTTTTTTAAGACAGAGTTCATTAACAGGGGTTTATTTCAAGGAGTTCTAATACACGGTCATACTAAAATCACATATGAATGCAAACAAAATGTGAAAAAAATTGGAAAAATTATTTATGTTTCCATATTTGTTATGGCAAAGTAGTATGTATATTTTGAATTCACAAAACTTTGCCTGCCTTTCTGGAAGATACGCTTTAGCCAAACATGAAGTTTTTGTTTCAGAACAGGAGTAAATGGATGAGATTCTATGGCTTGTGTTTTACGGGAGGCCAGACTAGATGATCTAATATTTCCTTCTGGCCTTAAAATCTGAATATCTGTCTTTCATTTAAGGATCTCAAAGCCTCAATAAACCTCAAAGGAATGTAAATTTTGTTATACCTGTCTTACCAGTAAGACAAATAACTTGCTATGGTCCCACACTGAGGACTTGTCTACGAAAACATTTAGTTTACCACAAACTGTAGTCTAATTCTAGCCTGCGCTAGCCTACCACAAAATAAATAAGTGTCTGCACAGACCCTGCTGCCATGCATTAACAGTTCCCTAGTGACCTCTGATTTACTCCTGTTTCAAAGAAGAGTAGATCAAAGACCACTAGGAACTGTTAGTGAGCGGCAGCAGGATCCACACAATTAGTTCACGGCAGGCTAGTATTGAGTAGATTTACACCCCAGCTTGCCATGAAATAAGTGTTTGTGCAGAAAAGCCCTGAGACAATGACAAAGTTGGAAATAGAAATCAGGGTTCCTGGCTCCTAGGTCCTCTCTGATCATTAGACAGTATACAAGGACCTTTTGTGTAAAACAATACATCAGGACTAAGTAAAGAGTATATTTAAAAAAAATATATATATATATATATCTTACCAACTGAAGCTCTTACTGTTGTAATATCATATGTCTCCAAGCTAAAAATAACCTCTTCTAATGCCTGAATTCCTTCTTCAGAATTAAATATTACTTCATGATGTTCACTGCCAATATAGGCAGCTACCTGTTTATAACAGATTACATTAGTAACCTGCCTTTTAACCCAAAGTGCTTTGCAAACATCCACAACACATCACTAAAATGCCAGAGTTCTTCTGCAACAAAAATTACATAACTGATTAAGACAGGAAGAAAATAAAATGGATATCCACGATAAGCCGTGGTGGAAAATATTTCCCAAATTATAATTTATTCTAACCCCAATGTTTACACAAAGTACAGTGGAATCTGTAATGGCGTGACATTTGTTTTTTTAAGTACGACACGACCTAAAAGACAGCACAGTGCCCCCCCAAAAGATTTGTCTAAACTACAAGCTTATTGGCAACTAACACATTCGCAGATGCTAGACGAGACACTTCCAGTGGTTCTTCCAAGATCTAAAAGTTTAGTGGTTTAGCCTTGGACTCAGCCACAAATAGAGGCAGAATTGAGGAATCTTTGAAAGCATGGCCCTTGCAGCAGAGCCCTGCGTGAGACTATTTTTTTAATCCTGCTCCCATATCTTCCCGCAATACCCACTTCCACCTGCTCACACATTTTTTCTTGCATTTTTATCCTCCTCCCACCCGCAAAAACCTTAGATCCTGCAAGAAAGACAGATTCCACCATGCTACCAAAAAAAGTTAATATTTTTATATATTATAAAAATAATTTTTACCATTAAAAACAATAAAACAAATCATGCTTAAACCATTTAGTCATGTCCCACAAATTTCCGCAGTCTGTTTTTTTTTGCCCATCCAATCATGCCTGCAACAAAAATACATTTTACCCACTACTGGTATTATGGCAGCAGATCCTGCAGGACTCCCTGGATCCATCCCTCGTAGTAATAACGCAGTGACAGTTTTGGTCACAAAAAGATTTTTCAAATACATAAGAACAAACAAATAAAACCAACCTATTTCTGTAATTTAATTAAGATTTAATTAAGCAGCAAAACCAATGCTGTGCAAACTTGGTTTTACTACAAATTCTGATTCCATACAAAAGAGGATTAAGACTACATCCAGGACACATTGTGACCTTATACAGGTAATGTAAAAGCAGTATTCTCTATTCAGTTTGAGCACACTAACTGTAACTGAAGACAAAAATATTACTATACCTTTCTGGCAGCCAATAAATCAGGACTGTCTTCCATTCCAATGGCAAAGGTTTGTAAAGGGTAATTGATGCTTGATTCTTTCATCAGTTTCAGGAGCATCGCAGCAACCAAACTGGAATCCAAACCCCCTATCAGCAAAACAATTTATTTCGTTATGTTTTTAAGGCACAAGCACCTGTACAATGGAAACATGATTTACATAGGTCTTGCTTTTTAAATTGTGTGTGAATCCAAGACATGGATGTACAAATGAGGGTGGAACAGAGCTCTAGAAGAAAAAGACGGCACTGTACACTTTCAGTGGAACAGCTATAGTAGCAATTACTAGTTTATGTGCTGTTCAGGAACCGCAACAAATCTTTTTTTAATATACCACCATGGAAGATCTATTTGTGCAATGATTCTAAATAAACATACCTTCTCTCTGCCCATCCTGCCAAGACTGGACTGATTCCCACCCACCAAATACAAAACTGTACTCATCTCCTTCATGACTATACTTCTACCTACTGCTAACAATCGTTCTCCCTAAGCTTTGCCAGTTCTGGCCTGCTCACAGTTCCCAACTCTCAGCTTCACTATCCTTCTTGCCATTTTAAAAGCAAAATGTACAACTCTTCATGCCTATCTCATTTACTGCAACATCCCTTGGTAAAACACACTGTTGAAACTGCATGCACAGGGCAATAGTTGTATAAATAACACACAATTAGTGTGTACCTAGATTGTAATTATGGAGATTTGACTACGCTGCTGTAACTTGAGAACTTTACATTTTGAAATAGTTTTGGCTCTGGGTTTTTTGTTTGGTTGGGTTTTGGGGGGGGCAGGGGGAGGAGTGGAGGGGATGGACACTGTCCCATCCCCAGCACCACAATACCCTTCCCAGCTTTTATGTAGGTAAAGGAAAGGAGTTAGCAGCACTTATCAAACTAATAATGGCTTCTATTGAGCCCTGCCTCATTCCAATGCAATAAGATACATAGTGAACATGTGTCATTATGCCATGCATACACACATGCACAACCTACCTTAACTCTGTCAATAAGAACTCCTAAAAAAAAATTGTAGTGAATCAAATGTCAGACCCAAGACTAGACAGAAGATACCTGGATTCTACAGTAAATGTCTAACCACCAGAGAACACTGCCTCCCAGCCAAGACACTGAACTTCCTTCTGGACTTTAGATTACCCCCTTGGAAAAAGTTAGTATTAGTTTTGGCCCAGATACCCCTAAGTCAGTACACACAGGATATGCCTTCTCCCTCTCTGCCCCCACAAACACACGGCAGAAAAGAAATCATCTCCACACCCAATTTTCCAACTCCCACTCTTTTCTGGAGTACACAGAGGCCTCTCTATAGATTTACCTTGTTATTACAGTGATGTCTCATTTTTATAAGATATTTACCCTCACTAAAAAGCCCTATAATGTTATGAGTACATTGGATTAGCACTGATTAAAGTGTTGGTTTTAGATTTTTAGTGAAAGATGGCCAGGCACTCTGCAATCCAACCTCACAGCTCAGGTTCCATTAAGTATAATAATATAGTAAGAGGCTCAATAAAGACCATAACAATTTTCAAAACTTCCTTCAAATTTCTGTTAAAATTTTTGGTAGGTAGAAAAAGTGCATTAAAAGTCCTGTTATTCTAGATGCATCACAGACAGACCAGTGTAAGTAAGCACTTTATTTATTTATTTGGGGGAGGAGGGAGTGTAGGAGCAGGATTTTAGAATTGTACTATGAGAATTAATGTCTGATTTGACTTTACCCTGTCAGCCACCCTTTTTGAATAGCAGAAAGGAATGACAGACCAGAACAACTAATTATGGTCACCCTTTTGTTTTAGGATAAGTTATAATGTCTACTATGGTTTCCTATATGTATTACAAATTAGGCACTCTACTTAAATATACATTTCTTTGTTTTAAGGTTTTAGTAAGTAAGAATCAGGATCTTGTATTGTATCTATGTTAAGGAGATTAGAAGAAATGATGAGGGCCTGAAGCCCCAATATGAATTGTTTTAGTTATAAGATTTAGCAAGGCTTGATTTACAATGTATTCTGCTGAATATAAAATGCTGTCTATATACCTTTGAAGGTTTCTGTAAGAGAGATTGTTTGTGTGAATGAGGAATGTGTGCATCAGGAAAGAGATAAGGTGTGAAAGCCATCACAAATGTCCAGATGGTCAAAAAAAGTGAGAGACTTGGAAAGACCAGGAGACAATCAGAAAACATCCATTGTATCCGATGCTAGCAGCATTGATGACCTCAGAGGTGAGGCAGGCACTCCCGAAGGTGAAACAACAAATAGAAGATAACAATGGGAAGCCCGACCATTACCATCAAATGATAACAGCAGAAAATCCCAAGATTAACACCACTTAAGGACTAATGATTACAGAATGACATTGCAAAATGAATGGACTCAAATGGGAATTTGCAACTATAAAGCTGGGATGTTTTGCTATGGAACTTGGGTTGAGTCCTGCAAAGCCTCGGAGCATCGGATCGTGACCAACAAGAGCCCAGCTCCTCACACGTGCTCAATGTAACTGGCTATTAGATTGACTCAAGCTACCACAGACTGGTACCTATAAACATCAACTGGCAGAGAGAGAGAGAGAGAGAGAGAGAGTGTGGCAGCATATGCTACCTGTTGTATTTTCAATAAATGTGGCATATTTGCCTTTGCCTGAAAAGATCCCGTGTGCTTTGTATGAGCATAATAAGAGAAGAGAGCAGGGAAGAAAAGTATAATCATTCTAAGTTTTGCTATTTACCTGACAAAAGACAGCCAATTCTTCGGTGACTCATTAAACGTTTTTTAACAGCATTTTCAAACAGAAGCCGAATGTTGCTTTTCACCGTTTCGAGATCCAAACCTGCCACAAAAGGAAACAAGCAAATAGCTTTGTTTCAGGGGTTTCCCTTAAGGTTTTGCTGGACTAAACTAAATAAGGATACAACATTCTTTGCTATCAAATGAATTTCAGACAAGGATGCAGGAGCTCCAATATATTCGCAGGCAGTCACATACAAAGAGAGCCCCCAAGTGTCACACCCATACAGTATAAGGTTTCTTTTCAGCTCTTTGCCAAATAATTCTACCACTTACACCACACAATACAGGTTACATGTTCATGAAAAATTAAGTAATGAATTATTCTGATTAATTTAAAACAAGGTTATAAAAATCAGTTCTTTCCTGCGTTACCTGCAGGCAGATTTTCCACTGTATCATAAGCAGCATGCAGAGGCTCATCTTTACAACTATGAAATTTTACCAGTTCCACTGATGCAACTTTGCCAGATGGTTTTAAATCCAACACTTCATAGTGTCCCGGAAGAAATGGCTCCACTTTAGGACTAGTGGACATGGAGTGCTTTAAGTTGATAAGACCTGCAGACATGAAAACATGTGGAGAACAAATTTTCAGGAGTTTCTGAGTATTTACCATGCCCATCACCATGGTCCCTGAGCTGCTTAAAAGTAGAACCAAAATATTTTTCTCCAGATTATCTATTATAGTCTAATTCTGCCCTGGCTGGTACAACGATGAGGAAAAAAAAAAATATGCTGCCTGAGCCCTCCTCTGGTGCAGGAGTCCTGCCAACAATAGATTGGGTTGAGACATGTTTTAGAATAGCAACAAAGTGAACTGCAAACGTAGACAGGGTGTGCCCTGTAACTAGCACTTGCTGCTAACAGCAGCATGCAGCACATGATACCTCCATCTAGCTATGATCAAGCCACAAAAACAACAGACAACAACCTCATTGGGTCATGGTTCAGAGGCTACCATATTATCTTTTAACTCTATGGAGAAACCCTACCTACCTTGTTGCCTGTGTGGGGAAAGAGGCTCTTGACACTCACTTCGTCCCCTAATTCACCAAAGGGTCTGGTCCTGTGCTTATTGAAGTCAATGTCAAAACTCCCATTGACTTGCATGGCACAGGATCAGGTCTCAGTGCAGCGCAGGGCAAACTTTACTATAACTCAGCTTCTAACTGCTAAGTAGTATTTTACTACTGGGATGTTTTAGGGAAAATATGGCATAATTGAAGACAGTGACAGGGTCAAGTGCAGTACATTTACTGCCTGTGTGAGCTTGAAAGAGAGAAATTAACAAGTTTACATATAAAACCAAAAAGAGGTTAACAAAAATCACTAAGTGGCCAAAGTCACTGCGGAGCTGATATTAAAATAAGTAATTATTTATATCAATTTAGCAATTCCATAATTACTAAATTATAGACTCAGAACCTGAATGTGTTGTTTCTAATAAAGGCCTCAGAATCAGACTTGCACTAAAATTGTCAAGGGCCATATTTTACTTTAATTCTACACATCAAACTTCTGGTGAAGTCACAGGGAGTATTTTGCAAAAACTGAACGGGGAATGTCCCACATGGTTATTTGGATGTAGCCAGATGAATTTCAAAACATCAAGTTATCTCAACAGTGATACAGAAGGGAACTGAGAGCTGAATCCAGGAGCCCTTATTGGGAAAAAAAATACCATAGGCAGTTAAGAACAAATAAAAAGACTGTAGGATTGAGTCTCTGAGATTGCATCATTACAATGGTCGAGCTAATTGGATGCAATAACTAAACATACATACAGCAGTTCAAGGATAAATGTGAGGAGACAAGAGATTTATTTGTATCTTGTTCAAATAAACTCCCTTCCTATCCCAGTTTGATAATGTTTATACATATTAATGTCTATGGTTCCAGTATTTCATTGTTTTTCTAAAAATAAAGAACGGGTGGAAGTAAGGTGACCAGACATCCCAATGTTATCAGGACCATCCTGATATTAGGGCCTTTGTCTTATATAGGTGTGGCCAAACTGTAGCTCGTGAGCCGCATGTGGCTCTTTTACAGTTAAAGTGCGGTTCCCGGAGCCCCCCCAACATACCCCCCCTCTCATTCTCCGCCTATAAGACTGGGCAGGGGGGGAGCTCGGGGCTTTTACCCTGTGGCAGGGTGGTGGGACTAGGGGCTTCTGCCCTGTAAAGGGGGGGTCTAGGGGCTTTAGCCCAGTGGAGGGTGAGGGCAAATCGGTGCAGAAACCCCGCACCACAGCAGGCACCGCCCCGCAGGTCAGGTTGTGCACGTCTTGCGGCTCTCTAACCTCTGAAGATTATTGTATACGGCTCGGAGGCTCAGTAAGTTTGACCTCTCCTGTTATATATGCAACTATACCCCTCTCCACCGTTACACACAAGAAAAAAAAAAAGCAATGTCCCAATTTTTCACACTTGCTATCTGGTCACCCTAGGTCTAATTGACACTGACTTCACCTGACTCCTGTATAACTGATCAGAATCAAGACCTCAAATATTATCTGAAATCAGATAAAGATACCTGGCAGTCATAACTATGTAAAAGTAGATGAATGGCCTTTTAACATAGCTAAAAATCAGTTAACTCTAAAGTCTTCCTATTTTATAAAATGTCTAGAGTTCTATTTACATTTAAAAACAAAACAAAAAACCAAATTGGAACCACATGATTTTATTTTATACTGACCAGATTCAATTACCAATAATTTTGTTGTTCATGTTTATATATCCTTAACGATTATCAAGAGAATGAAATTTGTGTTCCTCCAAGACTTTTTATATTTTGACTCAACAGCGGTGATGATGAAGTTGATTACTAAATTACTGAACTTTATTGATTTTACCTTTTGCCTCAGAGCAGACACCCAAGAATCCATCTTCAGTCAGCACCTTAAACAATGGCCTGACTCCATAGGTATCTCTTCCCAGAAACACTTTCCTGTTTGCAGTGTCCAGCAGGATGAATGCAAACACACCATCTAGCATGCAGGCTGTTTGCTCTATTCCTCCTCTGTTGTAAAGATGAAGGATTACCTCGCCATCTACTAAAGTTTGATATTCAAATCCAAACTGCTTTTGCAGCTAAAGAAAATAATTATTAGAAAGAAAAAAAAGAGATTAGCATTCACAGACACTGACTGCATTCATTTTTACTTAAAAAAATAAAAGGGAACATTTACTTACTTGTAATTAAAAAAATAATATAGATTACTTGGTGAATAAGAGTTTGAAAACTTTATAGATGTTTTCATACAAGCAAAGGTAAGGATACATTTGTATTTCAGATCTGATCTGGGTTCTATTTGCAGCTCTGCCACTAACTTCCTCTGCAACTCACTTCAGGGACAAATTTTCAAAGGTAGCTTAAAATTGTGTGTGCTTCAGTTGCTGGGTGTAAAATTTGAGATACCCTGTGTCTGATTTTGAGAGACATTGAGTTCACTTAATCTAAAATTAAATCTCTTAATGGGAACAATAATCCTTATCTACCTTACAGGTGTGTGGCGTTGCTTAATTCATTAAGATTTCCAAAGCCCTTTGGAAATTAACTGAATTTGCTTCAATTATACAATACAGTAATAATACTTTGACCTGAGAATTTCATTTTGCCAGTTTAACTGGAGGAATTAAAACAAACAAACAAATGTTCGTTCGGTGAAATTTAAGATTCTTTCATAAGCAAAAAAAGCAGTTTCAGGTGCCAGAAGTTTCAGCAGCCATGACTCATGAGTAAGCTTCATGCCCTTGTTGTGCTACTTTTAAAAATTATTTCTACCATCTACTGGATGGTAGAAAATCTAAAAATAACCTGTAAGACAGCATCTGTAAAAAAGGATACTATCACTATATTTTTGATAATTTAATAATACTTTTTAAATCATGAGGTGAAATCTTGGCCTCACTGAAGTCAAAGGGAATTTTGTCATTGGTCACCATGGAGCTCATCTATGGTTCTTTAACAAATAAGCTCCAAAAACATACTTGCCAACTGGAAATCAATCTCTTTACTTAAATTGTTTTTAAACCACATCAGTGCACACATCATTTTAGGTTTTGCCTGATTAAGAACTGCCGGGTTGGACTCATGTTCAGAGTCTGTTTTTAGAAAGCAGTAAGTGCTACTGAAAATGGCCATAACATACTGGAGAACACAGCAAGTATTGCAGACTGCTGATACAAGGGACTCAGCATTGCTTTTCTCTGGAGTATGTTATGGTCATTTTCAGTAGCTTACAGCAAAAGTCAGACACTGAAAAAGCCACACTCTGCAGCACTCAGTTCGTCAAACTGCCAGTGACATCAATGGGAGCTTGACTGAGTTAGCATTACAGAATTGGGCCTTTTGCTAACAATCACAGCTGCTACTTACCCATATGTTCCATATTTAACATGCTGGTGTGACTGACTATATATAGGCCTGGATTCAGGAAGGTACTTATAAACGTGCATAACTTTAAGGATATGGGTAGAACCAGACAATAAATTAGGGCCACAGTGCCAGGTTTTCAAAAGGTATTTAGGTACCTAAAGATACAGACAGGCATCTAATGGGATTCTCAAGAGTGCCTAAGTTGAGTACCCAACTCCCAATCATTTCAATGAGATTCAGGACTGGTCTACACTGGGAACTTACATCAGCATAGCTACATCGTCACCGCTGAGAGACGCAGCTATGCAGACCTAACCCCTGGGTTATGTCAAAGGAAGAATTCTTCCATCAACCTAGTTACCACTTCTAAGGGAGACAGATTAACTACAGCGATAGGAGAACCCCTCCCGTTGCTACAGTGCATATCTACACTGAAGCAGTACAGCTGCATCGCTGTAGCGCTTTAAGTGTAGACATACCCTTAGACACCTAACCTGTTTAGGTGGTTTTGAAAATTCTACTAGATCCCTATCTGCATTTTTAGGTGCCTAAATACTTTTGAAAATCTGGCCCATCATGAACACTGTATTGATCTATATTAAGAATATTTAAGACATGTCCTACTTCATCTAATATGATGAGATTAAGCAGAAACATAAATAATATACAACTAGGACAGTAGAAGAGCTCCCCCAAAATAATCTGCAGAATACCAAAATTAAGATGACTTTATTAATTTATTTGGGGGGGGGGGCGGGATTTTACTTTTTTTTTTTCCTTCTAACTCCCAAATTCTTTATTAGTAAGCACTGATTATGCGCTTACCCCTTGGAAAATTGGAGTAGATTTCTTTACCAAATAATTTTTCCTCTTTCCATTTATACACAGTCACTATTTACTGTAAATATTTGAAGGACTATTGTATTCTGAGTATCTCTCATATACTTATAAATTGACTCCAGATTTTCACCCAAATAGTTTCTTTTTGAAGTTGCATCATTTGATTATTTGCTTGTTGAGATGAGTTCCTGTCTGCATCCTGTAAAACTTGCCCTGGCCTCTTCTTTTGTCATTCAGTGTTGCACGCATTCTATAGCAATATGCATTTCCTCACCTTTTGGGGGCGAAGCCAGACTTTGAGGCACCTGCTCCCCTACTTGGTGTAAACTTTGCTTGTGCCAATCAGAAACGAACACAAACAGGTTTTGGGCCCCGTCCCCTATGACACTTCTATGATGTCATAGTTGGTACTTTTGGGGCTGCCTGCCATGTGCAGGCAAGGGAGAGGAGAAAGAAAAACGAATCCTGTGTATCCTGTGTACACCCGTAACCGAGCCTGATCACCTCGAAGCCTCTCTCTCAGCTCACGTGTTTCAAACAGAGTGTCTATGTTTGCCGGTCGTTATGCGTTGGTTTGTATTTGTAAGTATCAGTTATTACTAATTGCTGCATCTTTGTTTATAAATATTGTTAGTAGATATTTTAGTCATTGTGTGTTTTAAGTTTCATTAACTCTATTAGCTAATCAAACGCTGCTCCCTTACCCCTTGTAATTATCCCCAATAAAACTTTAAATTGATTCATTTTAGTTGTGTGTGTGTGTGTCTGCAGCTTGCATCGTGACCCATATTCTCCTTGCATCCCTTACCAATATAGTCTATTGCCACGTGCAGCCTGGTAAATAACAGGCCTGCATTTTCTTTCACCCCTGTGTGCCCGTGGCAATCCACATTGCCACTGACATTCTAGTCCACAGTGTTTTAGAGAAGTTCCAAATCTTCACCGGCACTGAGTTACTACAGATCACAGTTGTTTTTTTACCTGTCTGAAATTGTAGATTTCTCCATTGTAACATAGCCATAAATATGGAAACTTCTTCACCCGAATAGGCTGCATGCCATATAATTGATCAACAATCGCCAGACGATGGAAACCAAAACAACAGTTGGTGAAGCCATTGACGTTTTCAAAACGAAATGCATCAGGACCTCGGTGAGCTATTTTCATGGCACTTAGACACTGGACAGAAAGGCATTCATCGCTTCCAAAAAGGGCCCAGATACCACACATTGTGAAATCTCTTGCAGGCAGTGTCACAGCTACTTAAAAAGAAGAACCTGTTAACAGAAAGATATGTGTTTGGGGTTTCTTTGTTTTTTAAACAATTACCAAGCCTATGGCCTTTCTCACTCAGGGGTGTGAAAAAACACCCCTGAGCGCTGCAAGTTTACACTGCCACTTTACGGCGCCGAGACAGTGCACCAGTGCTGGTAGCTACTTCCCTCGTGGGGGTGGTTTTTTTAGAGCACTAGGAGAGAGCCGCGGCAGCGCTTTAACGTGAAGACATAAACTGAAAAACAGAAGAACGTGTTTTTCCTTATTTACTTTGTGTATTTGACAGTACTAATGTTTTCACCGCTCAGCTCTGTTGGGGTTACTATGCCTGCCTGAGCCAGAGTTCTTCCATGTTTAACTCTAATCGACCTTAACAACCACGGACAGGAATTGGAATGTATAAATAGCCAGTTAGCAATTACAACCTTGCTCATACTAGGTACCAAACAATAATGATGAGGTTTGCATGTTTCTAGCTGGGGAAGGGGTAATAAACTAAGGGTAAACAGGACCAAATAACTGTTTAGGGAGAAGTTACTAACAAGCTAGATTTATAGCCCTAGAATGATTTAGTTGCTTAAATGTATAAACATGCCTTCGGTAGAGAGGGGAGGGGGAGTAGAGGAGGGGTGGTAGAGAGGGGGAGGGGAGGGGCTTAGTTGTAAAATGTATAAAGAAGAGAGAAACTGTTTTTGCTGGTGTGCTCGATTTGAGACTTGCCTGTCTCCTTGCACCACTTTGGGATCTCAAATAAACTTTGATTGTTTCTCCACCCCGGTATGTTTATTGGCGTGAAGGCCAATACTCCGGGCACCGAACCCCACTGTTGCTGTCCTCAGGCCCCTGTGCCGGCAACAGCTCTACATAGTCAATTTAGCTGTTTCACTATTTTGTATTTCCTCTATTGTTTGCATGGGTCTTCCACATAGCAAGGGGGGGCGGGGGGATTGTGAACAGAAAAAGTTGCCAAGCCACAAAAATTGGCAAACATACTCAGAGGTAGGTGTAGGTACTTCAAAACTACTTTCAATTTATTTTTAATTGACTAGATTTCAAATTGGCAGTGTCTCTTTAACACTGCAGGACAACTTTTTTCAAATGTTTTGACCATGGAGTGAATTTATGGGGGGACAGGAGGTAACCCCATTTCATTCAGCAAAATTTCATCTAAAAACCCTCCTTTCCCGAGTAGTCTCAACGGTGATACGCAGCCCAAGTAACACGTATTGCTTTATTCATATCCTCTGCCTGATGCAATACTGGTGTCTTCCTCTAATGCAATTCTTAGGAGTACAGCTTTGCACAGCAATGAGTCAGTAAGCCTCTCCTCTTAAAGACTGCATAGCCCACATGAAGCCCAGCGGCTGAGGTTCCATGTGGGCAGAGGAAACTGCCCGCACAAACCAGTTAACAGGATCCGGACTTTAGTCCGCAAACTAGAGTAGGGGCCAGTGTCTGCCTCTGTGTATTCATCACCTAGCAGAATGGGGCCCTCAACCTTCGGGTCTTCTAGGCACTAATTCAACACATAGCAAGGCCCCATTCCTCCAGGCATGTGCCATCGGAGTAGTCCCATGTGTTATAAGCAGGCGGGTAAGAGTTTGGAGGATCGGGGCCCACAGGAGAAGCTGGCAAAAGAAAAACGTTAACATGCTGCACGCGAGTGACCAATGCCACCATCAGAAACCGCTTTTACGCCCAGCTGCCCCTGGGCGTGCGCCATTCCCCGCAGCTGGAGGGCGCGCTCCGGGAGGGCAGCCAAGCCAGTAGGTGGGGAGCAGCGCACACCCCGGCCAGGCACAAACCAGGAAGGAGCTCCGTACGGGGGAAGCAGCGCGGCGGGCGGCAGCAGCCCCCACCCACACCAGCCGTGCGGCGATAGCTCCCCCCGGTGCCCTGCCCGCCAGCCACGCGGTGCGCGCCCTCCCCGGGGAGAGCCAGCGGCTGCCGGGCACAGCAAACCGCCGCCGCCCTCCCTGCCCCGTTACCTCTGCTCCGCCTCCGGCGCCGGGCGAGGCTCCAGCAACCCCCAGCCAGATGCTGCTAGGGAGGCTCCTGCTCCAGAGGGTCAGGATGCTGCTAACCAGACAGACAGACGGAGGCAACAGTCTTCCCCGCCACTCCTGACCTGCCGCCCGCCGAGCAGCGCCGGTGAAACCTGACTCCTCCTCCCAGTCTTCCTGCTGCTGAAACACAGAGCGAGGTTTCATCATGTCGCTGCTCCGCCCCAATCTCACCACCAAGCACAGGGAGGCGCTGCGCTCTGCTCTGCTGTACACCTGGTGCTTCACTGACTCGAGATTTATATTGAACTCAGCAACCTGCCGCCAGCCATTTCCTGCGCCTCCCCGTAAGGCGGGCAGGGCAGGGGAGCCTGTCAATCTGTTCACAAGGAACGTTTCTCCAGAAAGAAAAGAGACACCCTTCCCCCCCACACAAGCAAACAAACACATGTTCTGTGCCAGATTAAATACAAATATTAAAATAGTAGTGTCAAAAATGTCCTTGCTAGGGTGCGATACACTGAGCATAGTCAGCTAATGGTGTCTCCAGTTGTGAGGAAAGCAGGGAGGCTATAAATAGTCCAGCCAGAGCCATATGGTATTATACAGCTATCAAAGCCATTTCCCAGTATACACATGAGTAGATACAATTAAAGATGATCAGAAAGCACAGTCATACCGTTATCCCACTAAAACTACTTCCAAAGGTCCTATTCTCCATCACTTGTTATTACTGGCACCCCGGTGCAAAGTGGTATAGACGTGAGAGCCTTCCAAGGCAGCTGCCAGTTAGAGGAAAAATTACTGACAGTCTGGGCATAATCTTAGTGCAATTTAAAGACTAACAGATTTATTTGGGCATAATCTTTCGTGAGTAAAAACCTCACTTCTTCGGATGCATAGAGTGCACTTTCACCAGCGCCCCAGGACCCGAGCCAAGCCGGGCAGGAGACGCCGGGGCCAGAGCCTCTTGGCCTGGGCCGGCCAGCCGCAGGAGGGAGCTGCTCAGCCGGGGGGGCCAGACTGGGCCGCGCCTCCTTGCGCCCCCCCTGCCCCAGCCCCAGCTTACCTGCTGCCTGCCTGCTTCAGGCTTCCCGCGAATCAAATGTTCGCGGGAAGCAGGGAGGGCAAGGGGCGGGGGGGAAGCATTCAGGGG